TCTATCTATCTATCTATCTATCTATCTATCTATCTATCTATCTATCTGTCTGTTTGTTTATTTATTTATTTATTTATTTAGTCATTTAGTCATTCTGAGGAGAGACGAAATTCCTGTTGTTCATCCAGTTGTTGCTTTACGTGTCATTACCTCACTTTCTCTCTTTAAAAGACACATTACAGCTTATAGAGACAAGCCTAAATGCTCCATTTCCAGCCACAGAGACACTTTAAGGGAGACGTTACATTAATCTGTCTCTAACCGTTTTATAAGTCTCTGTAAACCCGGTGAAGCTGAGGATGTCGTGCTCGGGTGCGGGTCTAGTCTCACGCTGTGCGCGGGCTCTCTGGAGAAGCCGAAAGCAGTTTCAGTGCGTTTATGCTCCTGGTTCATTTGTCTAAAACGCCATTTCTTTACGTTAATAGGCATTTACTCAGGAAATGTCCCTCCGTGTGTTTAAAATTACCCAGCAAATGCTTCTTTTCAGCTGGGAGAGAAACAGGGAAGAGCCTCTCTGAAAAAACTTAATCGGCCAAACATTGGCTTTGCCTCACAGGTTTCTACCGTCTTTTCTCTTAAAATTTAGATGTCATTATCATGAGCCTGGATCCGGTAGAAAAGATGACAGCACAGGGACCCTCTGGGACATTCAGGGATACTTTGCATTTAAACAACAGCTTTTGTGGGTTTGTCCCATGAGACTAAAATAGGAAGCTATCTTTTTCCTCTTATCATTTTTTCCTACCGTGGCCTCTCTGCTCATTTTCAAAGACACAAAGGTATTTTTCTGCTAAAGATTAAAATCAAATAACTTTTTCTCTGCAGGTCGTATGAGGTAGTTTTCAATGCTGACTTTGAATTTGAAAAAATAACAAAAAATAACTGGCATTCTCTCTGGCTTTTGTTATAACAAATCGAGCACATTTCAAATGGTGGTAATGTGCATTTCTCGTCTTTCTGTCGATTTTTTCTGGTCTTAAATGTCCCAAAGTGAAGGTTTTAGCTTCTCTGTTTTTCCTTGTGTTCTCTGTTTTTCCACCAGTACAACAAAAACATAATTTGGGCTGTTCCCCGTGCTGCGTTCTGTGATTAATCACATATCACGGGTCATTCAGTCAGTTGTGGGAGCTCAAATCAAAATTCTGCATCCAACCGTTGTGTTTTCATTTGGGATCTTTGTTATCGAAATGTCCTTTTACACTTTTATAACACTGCATTTAGGTTAAGACAGAGATGGGTTTGGATTTCTTGCTCTTTGGATTTCTTGCAGGATGCAGCATTCCTCTTATATCTTAATGACTTTATTTGCTCATTTTTTTTTGTGAAGCCATGCCTGTGTTGTCGTCGTCGGCCTTCTTCTTATTTGTGAGATGGCAGCCACACAGAAACTCAAAAAAAACCTTGTGTTTAATCCCAGATAAAACCAAAGCTGCCAGTCTGCAGCAATCAGACTTCTAACTGTTGGAAAAACCTTGAGAACCAAATGATTGTTGTGCAGGAAATTGAAGCAGACAGTTTCTTTTTTTCTTGCGACTTCACCTACACATCGGGAGGAAAAACAACTGTAAGGAAACAACAAGTCTGAAAAGATGTCTATGCGCGGAGAGGATTAGCTAGCAGGGCAAGGCTGCTGGCTAATTCAGTGAAAGCCTTCCAGTTCTTACAAAACATATAGAAATGGAGTTGTTATATACCATCACACCATTCACCATTAACTTAAGCGACCCCTCTTTGTGTGTAGGTTGTTGCTATAGACTGAGGTTTTTTCCTACAGGATCCATTCTGTGCTTTTTATGATAAAAATGATTGAATCCTTATATATGAGAGCCTGTAAATGGTGGAAACAGTTCATTCTTCCACAGGCTGGTGTTTAAATGTTTTCTTTATACTTTTTTTTTCTTTAAACCTTTATTTTGTGGGCTCAGGTCTGGCTGTTTTCCATTCCCAGTAAATATCACCAGCCATTGGATTTGCAACAGGCCGCCACAGCAGCCTTAGCGGTTAGCGGTTAGCGGTTAGCATTTAGCGGTTAGCGTTTAGCAACCCCTCGACTGAATCCTGTTCATTAGCTTCTACAGAGCTCCTTCATTTCTCTTGAACTTGTTGGTTGTCTCCTTTTTGGACACTGCCGGCCTCCTCACATCCTCACCCCCCGGCTGTATTGATTTTTAACAAGCACTTCCCATTCTCGCTCTCTGATTCAAGACAAAAGGGCATGTAGAGTGTAAGCAGATCGCTTTGGGAATTCACATTTAAAACACAGAGTTACTTCTCTGACTGAGTCCCCACCTGAACCCCCACTGCCCTGATCCCGCTCCATCTCTAAGTCTGAACGAGGACATTCTGAGATTTGTTTCTGCTTTTTAAGACGGCGGTTTTGTCAGAAAAAAAACGGACTAGGACTCACTCATGCTCAAGTCCGATGTGAATCCTGAGACGAGGGTTATTTGGTCTCAGTTCAGTGTTTCGTTTTGCTTTATCGGCACCTAGTTCATCACCACTTGCTGAGTTTTTTGGCTACGTGAAATCCAAATTTAATCACTTGGTGCTGGGAAGCTGAAAAACAATTTCTCAAATGACTGCTCATAAATTGTAAAAAAAAAAAATCACATTTAAAAAAAGAGAGAAGAGCCAATAGGCTTCAAACTTATTTAAATACTTATTCAAACAAGCAAAGTTGCCTCTTTAAATCATGTAGTCATTATTAAAAGAAATTGCTGGTTGTATTTAGAATGGCTTTTGATATTACACACTTCTGCATTTGTTGTGAACACAACATACAACAATTGGGAGAATATTGTACTTATATTTCATATATTTTATTTATACCTAAAATCTTCACTATCCTTCAGCAACACTTTTTCCATGCATAAACATCTTTTTTTCAGCTTTACTTTTTTGGTAACACTAAGAACGGACCATTTTGAATCACAGTTTTTGATTGAAAATCTGTTCATTTTGAATTGCTGTAATATGTACTTTGTTTTTAATTTAAATCATCTTTAAATATCATTCTAGTGGTCATGTACTCTGCAAACTGTATTATAACACATTATTGTATAATTGCTGTATTTTTCCAAAGCTGTTACAGTTAGATGGTGCACATTTAAGATCCTGTTACATTTTCTAACACTATTGGAAGCATTTGCAGCACTTTGAGGTTACAAAGGAAGGAAGGTTTTTCTGGGTTTAACTATTAACCTACTAACTTCACTGATTATGGCCACTAAATCCTAAACAGGAAGAATAAAACACTTAAATCCAAGGAGATCTTATGCTCAAATCTTAAGTCTTCAAGTCTTAAACTGATTTTTTAACCGGTTTTGTGTGTGCTTTGTCGTTTCACAGGGCAGAACCTATACTGCAGCGCATAAAGGAGGACCGGACCCGAGTGGTGTCTCCCTCCTTTGACAACATCAAGTACGACACCTTTGAGATCGAGGAGTACCCTCTGTCTGCCCAGGGCTTCGACTGGGAGCTGTGGTGCCGCTACCTCAACCCGCCGAAGTCCTGGTGGACGCAACGCAACCACACGGCCCCCATCAGGTAAAGGAAAGACCACCCGTGTCGTTTGGTTTAGCGGAAATAACAGATAAAAACGAGGTGTGCATAGCATTTATTAGGTATTTTTACAAGTTCGCTTACCAAGCTTGTCAATTTTTCTTTAGATTTTTTAAAAATGTGATGACTGTGCAAATTCTGAAGGTGAAGAGTTAGTGTTTTAAAGCCATATTATACAGTATATGGCTTACATTTTATAAGCTCAAAGGGATGCAGCTCAGCCATAAAGCACATTAAGAGAAGCGAACTGAAGCGAACTGAAGCGAACCGTCACATTAGAAACTACATTTAGGAGGAAGGACAGGTCGTTTGTGTCCTTTGTCTCCTGTTGTGCGTCTGTGTTTGTGTTCTAAGATGGCTGTGAAGATCCAAATCTTTATTAGGAGTGACCTTTCTGAAGGGGTAAAGATTGCATTGGCAAAAAAAAAAAAGAACACAAAATACATCCTAAAAGTAAAATCGCTTGCTCGGCAGTTTCGGCGGGAGGATAAAACGTCGGCCGTTCTGCTTTGCAGCGAGCAAATCAATGATGCAATGTTTATAGATCTGGGCAAAGAAATGAGGATGCGTCCGGTTCAATAACATAATGGAGGAAGATGAATAGACCCAACTCTTTGTTTAATAGTTTCTTTTTCTCTCTAAAGGGTCATTTCAGAGGATTGTCAGTGCTCGGTGATTATCCTTTACTTTTATTCTTTTAATTAACTAATGTAAAAGAAAACACAGTCACAGTCTAGACGTGAGGTATCTGGATGATTGCGCTTTATTTTGCTCTTCAGGCCGTGTGCTTGAGGAAATGGGATTTCAGACAAAATAATGAGTGCTTTATTAAACAGCCAACTCTCAGGTTTATTTCAGGTTTTCAGGACTTTAAAAAGTCTTTGATACCTTGTACAGATAGTAAAAAGTGGCCTGAAGCTCACTTGGTAATAAGATTAAAGTACATTTCGGTTTAAGTTTAGAATACTTTTCATGTTCAGACATGGAATTTGGGTCTTTCTTCTTCATAACATCTATAGATCTAAACTCTGGTGACACCCTCAGAAAGAAAAATTAGACAGGGGTTATTGGATATTTTTTTATTTTTCTTGAATGTTAAAGGTGCCCTTTTTGATGTGATGTGGCGTCTGGTTCCATCTCGGTGGAACCACAAAGGTTTGACTGGTCCCAAGTGCCCTTTGCTGGAGAAAGAAAGATCACACTCCTGTGCTATTAGATGCACATATCTGACTTTCATATGACTAAACGGTATCAAATGTAAATGTATATACAGTATAGACCCATTTTATGAGTTCTGGTTCAGCCCCTTTGTTGCATCTGGAACTTGTGAACCTTGTGAGATCAATAAAGTATTCATCAAACAGTCTCTGACTATATACAGTAGGGTCGTAAGGTTATTTTTTAAAAACTGCTGAAGAAAAAAAAAAGGAAAAAAAAGGAAAAAAGAAAAAAAAAGGGGGGAAAAAGGGGAAAAAAGGGAAAAAAAGAAAAAAAAAGGTTGAAAAAAGAAGAAAAAAAAGAAAGAAGGAAAAAAAGGGGAAAAAAATAAAGAAAAAAAAAAGAGGAAAAAAAAACTGCCGTGTTCAACCAAAAACAGACTTCCATGCAGACACATTGGGGAATAAGAGTCCTTTGGACTAAAATTACAGAGAAACAAACTATTTGTGGTCAAGTTGAACTCTACCGACAAACAAACAACAAAATAAAACAACAAAAATGAACAAAGATAAGGTACCTCTTTGGGAAATTTATGGTGGGAATCTATCAACATGTTTCCTTTTAGCTCTTGGTGGGTTTTTAATGGTGCACCATTAAAAAAAAAAAAATAAGAGGCTGGTTTATTTGATGTATTAATGCCCAAATTGTTATTTAATTGTGCTGCTAGCTGCAGAATGTGGGGATAATACTCCGTTCCAGGCTCAGTTTAGCGAGGGCTTTCTTCCCAGTTGCACTTTTGGGTTTCAGATGATGGTGGTTTGCCAATCCGTCCACCCACAGGGAGGAGAAATTCACCCAAACACGCTGCGGTTCATATATGGAAATGTGTGGGACTGACAGCATGAATACTAATACCGGTTATTTTTTCACTCCTGTTGATTTAGTTTGATGCTGATTGGAGTGCATGCTCTCCACATTTCCTCAACATTCTCAGTTTTTTTTTTTGTGTCCGGTGAAAGCACGATTTTGACAGCAGGATCATTTGTAAATATAATGCACTGAAATAATTCATTATGAGTTGCTGAGGGCTTTGTTCAGAGCATCAGACACGCATTGTTCTTGAAAAAAAACAGATCCTCTGGGTGTTTTCTTGCCACTGTGGGGATAATTGTTGGTTAGATGCGGCTTTTTTATGTGGGTCTTGTCAAACATTCAGCATTTTTACGCCCTTATTGCCATGCATTCTGAAAACAATCTTTTTTTTTTTTTTCTTCCTCTCGTTGCTCTTTCTGACAACTTCTCTTTCCTTCTCTCCCCATTCACCCCAGGAGCCCGGCTCTGATTGGCTGCTTTGTGGTGGATAGGAAATACTTTGAGGAGATTGGCCTGCTGGACGAAGGCATGGAGATTTACGGAGGAGAAAATGTGGAGCTCGGCATCAGGGTGAGACTGCATATTATGCCACATTCCAGCGAATGACGATCTGTACAAATAAATGTCTAGATTTAAACAGAAAAAATCCAGTGAAAAGGTGAAAAAATTAATTTGGACTGAATACGAGCCGAATCAGTCGTTCACACAACTCATTTAGTCTGAGCCAAACAGACTCAGTGAGTTTTACATCATTTTCACGAAACTGAACTTTTATTGTCACCACATTGATTGAATTTCCGATCAGGGCTCTTGTCTCCGCGGAAACGCAGGCGTCCTGAGGCTGAACCTCAGTCCCCGGAGACCCCCGGGAGTTCCCGACTTAATGGATGCAGGGAAAACCGCTGAGTCATGCTCAGCGTGGAGATGTTTGCATTATCATGTCGGAGATGTTTGATCTGAGCAGGCCGGGCTGACACTGATCTGATCTGCAAAAAAGCTTCTTTGTGACAGATAACGATTTTGTGTAACACTCACACCACACCAGATAGTGGTTTTGCTGTGTAAGCGGTGCAGTCAAACGCTGTTTCGCTCTCTTAAGAGCTATTGGAGCCCAAATTTGTTCAGTAATTGCAATATGATCATGCTCTGGAAAACATTTCAAATGATGAATACCGTCCCAAATTCTCGTTTAATCCTTGTTCACAATTCAGCATCTCTATTGTTTATTTACTCAGTTTTAAGCCTTTATTGGTACAATGATAATCGATCAACTATTCAACTGCATATTCTCTCCCTCAGAGAGTGTAACCAGCATTTTTTTAACTGTAGCCTCATGTTATTTAAATTGGAAGCCTTTCACACAGCAGATCTGAAGATAGTTTGGGATTTGGTGTGTATATGTGTGTATTTGTCAGGGATTCAAGTTTGTCAGGGACTTCCTTTCTTTAGTTTTTACTCTAAGTCATTCTGCTAGGCAGTTTAGGCTCTTAAGTTTGACACAAGTCTGGATATGTCAGAAAATCTCCACTGGGTGAAGGCTTCCTTCATACTTGAACCTCAAATCTCCTCAGTCAGCACATTTAAGTCATCCACCAAGAGTTGGATAAAGTGAAGCGATATTTTCAGAGCATCGCATAAAATATTGGCAATTCATTTTTACTGTGTACCCCGACTAGCCCACCTGGCAACAGAAAGCATTGTCTTCATTTATTCTACCGAAACTTACCAAGAAGGCCAAGGAGAGCCGATACCCCCCCCATACTTTGCTGACTTTGCAAAGGCCCCATTTTTTTCCAGATCGATGACTATGTAAATGAGCAGTGATACTTTGACAGAATCAGTTCTGCACTTATGTCTCCGGGGCATTTCTCATACTCTGCATAATTCATCACGAGTTGAGTTCAGCAGAAGGTTTAAGCCTGGAAAAAAGCCAGTTTTGTTCCATTTCTACCTCCTTCATTCAACAAAGGCGCCTTTTGTTACGAGCAAAGATTTATTTTGGAGTTTATTTTTAGCGTATCGCCTCAGTCTCTGCAGAAGCGCTCCGTGTTTCTGGTTGCTATTGTGTTGAAGATTGTTATTATCATGTAGCTTCATATGCACCAGGGTACAATATTGTGCATATTTAATATTCTCTGTCAAGCTGCCTCGTTTTATTTTTTTTCTCATCACAACAGGCAGTCGTACTTGACATGATTAACAATTCACATGATTTGTTTTTGCCTTACTCCTTTCATTTTCTCATTAAAACTTTTAAAAAACGCGAGTCCAAGGGGAGATTTGTTCCACTTTAAGGCGGAAAAAAAGCAGAGTGAGAAACAATTAGGCTTATAAATGGGCTGCGTTTCGACTGGGTCGCACACATTAAAATCAGCCACACTGAATGCACACAAACACAAGCTGTTCTAGTAACGATGCGGGAGGCTGGTGGCTAACGCAGAAACAACCAGAGACAACCAAATCCCAGACTTTTTCTATTATTTTTTTTTAGTCAGCACACTGAACTTTAAACCTGCTGAAGAGCTGTGCAAATTTGCATAAATGTGCTTAAAGGCAGTGTGTTAGGGGAAATGGATCCTTTGACAAAAGGAAAATGCAATCACAGAAAGTAGGGAAAGCTGTATCTTCAAGAGAATAATCACATTTTCTCCTAGCTTAATAATTGTAAGCAAGTATGCTCTACATTTTAACATTCCATAACAAGTTTTTCCTTGCCTGTGTCGCCTAGTGCTTGCTCATGGTGGGAATTGTTGGGTTTCTGTAGTAAACTTCAGAGTAGGGTTTGACCTGCTCTGTTTGGAAAGCGCTGTGAGACAACTGTTGTTGTGATGTGGCGCTATATAAATAAAATTGAATTGAATTTAACTTTTTCTCTGTGATGACCAGACCGTCTAATAGACCTTTAAAATGTGGTAAATGTGGTACTTTAGAAGCACAGTTCAAAATTCTACTCAGTAGAACTGCTGTAGCCTTGATTTTTGGTTACCTGATAGTCCTTTTAGTGGACCCCTGATAGAAATTATTTCAATTTGACACCAGAATCTCTCTAATCAGTCAAGCTTTGCACAAAAGTTGTGGTTCTTACTGAAAAGATCATCAATCCAGAGCCTTTTCCTTAATGAACTGCATACATTGCAAACAACTGAAAAATGTTCTCTGAAATCTGCCCCAAAATGGAGACGGTGAGAGTTTAAATGCCAATGCCAGTGAAAGATTGAAAGAAACTGTCAAGTTGAGTTTGTTGTTGTTTTTTACCCGATGCCGAAAATCCTCCAAGGCTTTTGAAACATTCAAAAACCCAGTGTAGGCATGACATGTCAGTTAAGGAGTAAGACGAGAAAAACCTGAAGCTCTGGGTTAATTGTATCCGGTGAGAGCTATTAAAAGTACATTTGGCAGGTAAAGGGAGGTTTTAGTTTATCCACTGACAGTAAGTGGCACATCACCTGAATAATTGAATTGCGGCCACGTTGTGCGAGGAATGCACGCAGGCAGTTCACAGATCAGATGTGCAGAACCAGCCTTAAAACAGTCCTCACCAGGTGTGTGACAGCTGTGGATAACGGGGGCAGAACAGTAAAAATGATCCAGTTTATTCGAATCTTTACAAAGAAACATAAACATCCATGTTTTCTTCATACTATAGAAAGACTCAGACTATGGCTACTGTATTCATTTCTTGAAGTGCTACTGGAGATTCAAGACCGAAAAGTTCAACCTATACCTTTTTAGTTTGTTCCTGGGGGATTGCGTAATTGGTGGAGACAACATTATGTGAAGCCCTCCGATTGGCTGCTCAAACTGAGCATAAAGTTTCATGCTTTGCATAGAGTTAGTTTCTGCAGAAACACTTGAGAATCTAAAGCTCACATCTAAGTTGTTTTGTTTGTGGGGTTTTTAGGGTTTTGATGGCAGATAACAGCATTGATCTTACCAAACTGGGGAGAATTGCATAAAACTAAATGTGACCAACATCTGTCTGTAGCAGACAGATGTGGGTCACATTTAGCCTTTGTTCATCACTTTCATTGATCTTTGTCTTTACTCAGTTTTGAGCCTTTAAAAGCATTTATATTAAAGAAAATTGATATTCTTGTGGTTTTATATCTTATTCCATCATACTTGGAGCTCTGGTTGATGAGCTCTACTTCACACATGTGGCAGGTGCATCGTGGGATACGTGCACAGATGCAGGTGTGGAGGAAAGTGTCATCACTCTGTTTCTTAACACCGGGAAAAGCTGTGAAGATCGGCTGTACTTGTCATCTTCCGATTGGCAAACAAACCAAAAACACTGCTGCGATTCCACTTAAGAAAAGAAGAAGATGTTCTCCTGAAACTGAGATTGAAACAAATTACCCAGGACACACTGAACACGCAAAGTAACAGGATGCCTAATATGTGGAAAAAAACTGCCTCTATTGAAAGAATTCAGGATCCTTATTAGAACTTGATGAGGCCAATCACTCCTTTAGGTTGTTGTTCTCTAACAATTTTGCAGGTTGTGACTAAAAAGTCTTCATTTTGAGATTTGTTTTTTACTCTTAGTGTGTGAAAGGTAAGTAATAAAGACAGGATTTGCACTCAGATCAGATCCCCTATTGTTTTGGGGTTTTTTTTATAATTAAAGAGGAAAGAATTCAGGATCCTTATTAGAACTTGATGAGGCCAATCACTCCTTTAGGTTGTTGTTCTCTAACAATTTTGCAGGTTGTGACTAAAAAGTCTTCATTTTGAGATTTGTTTTTTACTCTTAGTGTGTGAAAGGTAAGTAATAAAGACAGGATTTGCACTCAGATCAGATCCCCTATTGTTTTGGGGGTTTTTTTATAATTAAAGAGGAAAGAATTTAGGAACCTTATTAGAACTTGATAAGGCCAATCACTCCTTTAGGTTGTTGTTCTCTAACAATTTTGCAGGTTGTCAGTAAAAAGTCTTCATTTTGAGATTTGTTTTTTACTCTTAGTGTGTGAAAGGTAAGTAATAAAAACAGGATTTGCACTCAGATCAGATCCACTATTGTTTGATCTTTTTTTTTATTATAATTAAAGAGGACGTTTTTATGCCTTAACATACCCTGAGGTCGCTGGTTTCCCTGCTCTTTTCCCGGTCCAGGTGTGGCAGTGCGGTGGCAGCGTGGAGGTCCTGCCCTGCTCCAGGATCGCGCACATCGAGCGCGCGCACAAGCCCTACACGGAGAACCTGACCGCCCACGTGCGGCGCAACGCTCTGAGGGTGGCCGAGGTCTGGATGGACCAGTACAAGAGCCACGTCTACATGGCCTGGAACGTCCCGCTGCAGGTAAAGCCGCCGTTTGAACCAGTTCGGACTCTGAGAACCTCAGGTAGTGGTCACCTGCTGGTGTCCAGGGTCAGGACCAAACACGGAGAGGCTGCTTGTCAGTTTTATTCTCCTAAAACCTGGTTCAGTCCTCCTGAGGGAAGGGAAACAAACCTCAACTCTGAATGTGTAAATCCAGGCTGAAAACATTTCCATTTAGCTGTTTGATTGAATTCATTCATTATTTGATGTAGTTGTAAGGCACTTTGAAATGCCTCGTGTGTAAAATGTGCTCCACAAATAAACTTGATTTGATTATTGATTGTTAGAGTTTGGAGGATGGGTGACAACCAGCAACCAGTGCTATTCGCTGCTATTATGCTAACATTCGTGGAAAAGGTCTCACAGGACCTATAATATTATTGATAATAATCCATGATTGACAGCCTATTGCACATTATGTGGACAAATTTTCCAAATCAGATTGTTGCTAAACCTGCTAAACAGTTCAGGGCCCTGACATGAATCTCTGTGAGTTCATTTCAAGTCAAAGATCACAAAATAACCCGTCTTCCAGGCTCCATTGCGTCTGATTTACAGGTGCTTTAAATCAATCTGTAGCAGGAAGTTATGAATCAGGTGGAAGGATATTTTTCGTTGGTAAAAGTCTTTTCTTTTCCAATTGGATTTGGCAAGAATTTGGTTGAACAGAATGAGAATGGAAAGGGTTTTTTCTCCCCACTGCTAAATCTCATCTGCCCACAACTGATGTTTCCCAGAGAAGCACTTCGACTGTTTTCCGTATTCATGAGTCATTTTTCTGCAAATGGCCTCCACCATTATCTTAAACCTTATGTGATTCATTAACTAATATGGTTTATTGTCTCAATCCACAGTTGATGTCCATTTACAAAGAGAAAATTGAGTTACTACTTCGATTTTAGAGAGGAAATGTTTTTGTTTCACTATTATAATGAGATAGAATGAAATGTTGAAGATTTGTCCACTCTTTAACTGGCTATTTATATGAATAGTAGCTTACATTTTTAAATGGAAATTTAAATTCCAAACACTCTTTATAAATCCTCTTTATACAGGCTTGGAATTTTAATGAATTTAGATTTGGGCTAAAATACCATCGTGAAAAATCCCCCTTTATTAGCTGAATACCTCTCTGTCGGTTCTCTGAAACACTTTTTTCAGTCTTTCTGCTCACTTACTCCCCCATTTCCATTCAAAAGACACCGCAGAGCTGAAAGGACCCACAGGCCTTCATTTCTACACAGTTATTTTGGATTTCTTTTGCAACAATGCAATTCAGAAAGTTGAAGCCCCTCGTGATTGCACAGCTCAATTAATGAAAAGCTCCAAAATGTTTGTATTTCCTCCCTCTGCTAGCATTCGGGGATAGACATTGGGGACATTTCTGAGAGGAAGGCCCTGCGGTCCAGACTCAAGTGCCGCCCGTTCAGCTGGTTCCTGTCCAACATCTACCCAGAGCTGCGTTCCTACGGCAACACGGTGGCCTACGGAGTGGTGAGTACCCCACGACAAAGTCAAAGTCACTGGATTTATCCTCAACTTTCCAGAAATAAGCGTGCTTTAATAGGAGTGCGTTTCCGTTATATAAGGAGCCCGGGAGGAATCTGGACCTTTGCCAGCGCTTGAAAAAATGCTACGCCATAAACTCCCTCCCCCTCACTTCCCACTGCATCCTAAACAACTCGGCAGATTAGGACTCAGATATTCAGCGTTGTTATAAATTGTCTCAGCAAAATCTCTTGCTAATTTTCTGAGTGTATTTCATGAGCCTGATGTAATATTTCAAGCAAATAAGAGTTATACATCCAAAGATTCCTAATTCCAGGCTCTTTAAAATCAATTCGACTTCATTAAACAAATTAATCGAGTCCGCATTGCTGCAATTGGACAAATTAATTTATAGAAATCTATTAATTTTCTGTTCCACAGCACTTGTAGTCAGGGTTTGTGGACTGCTTTGAGTTATTAGCATTGTGGGTTTGAGCAGCCAACAGAAACAGTAAAGGGTCACTGGCTTCCTCAGCTAATAACAATTATGGGAATTCTTAAACAGTTAGGTTTTTCCAAAAGTTTCCCCCCTCATATTTCTTACTGTGGGAGGTATTACAGATGTTTGTACTGTGGACTGGCAAACCCAAATTTTCTTCTTTTTTTTTGCTTTTTCTATGCTGCTTTAAATTTTCAGCCTAGGTGAAAAAATCTGTGTACTTTAACAACTATTATGGAGTCTGTGGAGGAGCATAAGGGACTAATTTATTGCAATATAAAGCAAAATGTGGTGCGATGGCACCCTTCTGTATACTGGACTCAAAGTATTCAACAGTGCATCATGAGGAGAAGTGCAACTCTTCCCCTCTAAGGGGATAAATATGCACAACAGTGCACAAAAAGGACCTTTGAATAACCGTAGCCTTATTACTGAGAGGCCTACGGGGAACTAAAAGGTTGTAATAGCACCACAAATCAGATCACATTTCTGTCCGCTAATTTTAATTCTGGCCTTTTCCTACTGTCACGCTCTTTTTTAGGCATTCATCTCTTCGTCTGGCTGAATGAACTCTCTGTAATAGCGCTCCCCACCGCAAAGCCGTTGGAGGCAAAAGTCACGCTTTGTGCTTAGAATTCGAGGTCCCAGGTTCAAATCCTTGCTTGACTTTGAAGCTTCATCACACAGCGAGATTCTGAATCTTGCATTCAGACCCAGGCCCGTGGCTGTGGAGCTAAGCCTGACCTCTGACCCTTAGTGAAACGGGACAAGCGGGAAAAGAAAATTCCCCTAGGGAATCGATAAAATGCAAGTTTATAAAAACTTGTGTTGCATGTGCGATTGCTACGTGAGATAGGGTGAAACAAAAGGCTCAGATTGGACCTCTGTAAGAGATCAAGCACCTTTCTGAAGCCCCTCACAGGGCTGTGTGTGATAAAACTGCAAAAAGAGATGGTGGGAGGCAGTAACTACACTGGGATGGAGACCGTAATTCCTCCAAAGGGCAAGTGGTGTGGCCAAGACCGAATATACGGGATAAAATCTAAAATAAATAATAATCATTTAAAAATCCAAAATTGGTAGGTGAAAAAAAGGAAAGTCTGATATAACATTTTAGGGGTGTAATTTAGCATGCAGCCAACAACCTTTTTACACGAATTTGAAAAATGTGTAGCTTTAATTTCGCCAGCCTTTGGGGAATTAATGCAGAGCAGACCAAAGCTCCGACAACAAAGTCCGCATAGATAAGCAGGCATTTCTATTCAAATCGTCTCCTTTTAAAAGGTCACTTGAATGGCAGACTTAACGCGGCTTTCATTAAAAATGTTTGCAGTGGCCGGGGAAGTAAAGATGGCGAGCATGAGCCCGCAACGCCGTCGCAGATTTCCGAGCGTGTCGGCGCATTCCACGTGCACGTTAGCCGCTAACGAAGCAGCAGGGTTTTAAACAGAGGTGCTAGTTATCAGATTTTGTTCGTTTAGTGTCAAAATGTAAGTTTTCGGTGTCGGTGGGCCCATTAGAGCAGTGTTTTTCAACCTTTTTTGAGCCAAGGTACATTATTTCATTGAAAAAATCACGAGGCACACCACCAACCAAAAATATCAAACAAATCTGTAGCCGCCTATAGTAACACTATAGTTATTATTATCTTATCTTAAGTGTCTTGAATAGGAATCAAATAAACACAAAAATGTATTTTTATCATATTTTATATTTCTTCTTTCAAATTGCTCTTAACATGTCCACTTCAATATGCAAAATTATATACAAAATCTAGTCATAAGGAATTATCACATGATTACTCCACCAGTCACTTAATTTTTACCAGCGCATGATGGAGTTAAGCATCTTCTCTTTCTTCTTCATTACAGCAACTTGGACACAAATATTATATTTTCCTCAGTTTTTAGTCCAAAAGCTCCCATTAATCCATATCCAGGAGGTGCACATTATTATTTTTCTGTCTCTGATACAGCAGATACAGCAGCACTAAAACTCTTCTTACATATTATTTCTATTCTGTAATGGCCCACAGTACACAGTATATATTAATGTGCAGTTTATAAGCAGTTTGTCCAACCTTGAACGATTATTGGAATAAGAAACAGTTGATGGATGTACAACATGGAGCTTTGTGCACAAGTAGAAGACGTGTAAAGTGTTTATTTGGTCCGTTAGCCGCATTTCATGGATCAGGAGCAGAATACAGACAAAAGTGACCCAGTTTACCCCAACTAAATTTAACATGTTCTACTTATTTTTGACAATGCTCTGACTCTTTCTGTGGAGATCAGCAGCTGCACGGCGCCACCTCAACTCTCACCCTGCTGTGAAGAAATATGTCGATTTGACTAAAATGTATTGGGATAACAGACAATGAGGTCTTAAAGTCGACAAAACAGCAGGTGGATGTACGACTTTTTGAGGACGGACGCTATCATTCCGATGTGTCAATCTTCGTTAAAGTTAAATGATACATAAAAACAGCTCAGTTCCCGTCAAAAAAACGTCTCAGCCTCTGGAGCTAAGCATCTCACATGTGCAGAAATCAGTTTATACAGAAAAACTTTAAGCTAGCTTCCTTTTTCTGTGGAAAATATCATTTGAAATCCCAAACTTTATATGTCAAATGGCCTTGTGTTACCATATGTTGGTACTGAGGCAGACTATTCTGAAATGAAGGACTGGCGAGAGCTAAATTGCTTTTAAAAAGGCCTCAAGTAAGAGAGTACAATGTGTCTAGCAAGCCATTTTCAATAGTTTTCCAAGGTGGTAGAATTTTTTTCTGTTACGTGGCTTTTTTTTTATATTCAGCTCAGGCCAGGCGCACGACATCTGACCTTCTCCTCAAAGTGCCCGACTGGACCTGAGGACGCAGAGATGGATGGAATAGGCTCTGTGCTTTCAGGGGGGATAGATGGGAGGTTTCACACACAATGAGTTGAGGTTTCTTCAGACCTCTCGTTGTGGCATGACAAGATTTATCATCAAGCACGGCCGCTTGTGTAGCTTAGAGAAACGTATTGTCGTCATTTGTGGTAATTGCTTTGATTGGTGAGTCTGGCAGCATCTTTAAAACGAAAGCAGAGGCGCTTAATATTCCTCGTGTCTTTCCTATAAATAAAAGGAACAAGGTCAGCCTGAAGTATCGGTCCCGGAGCAATAATTTACGTATTTTGCACAATTAGTTTAGACTCCTCGGTGGAACGGAGCCAGGCTAAATGAATGGCCCGGGAATCCGGAGAGTACAGGCGCTTTTTTTTTCTTCTTTCTGATGTATTTCTGTTGCGGCTGCCAGGAAAAGGTGAAGGTTAGTCTGAAGTTGTCTGCGTGACTTCCTCCCGGCAGGCGGTAATTAGCCCGCGGTGATTTCCATTTGTCACCGCGTTAGCCGCACGTCTCCGGCTGTGTGCGGCGCCGCTCTGTCAAAACGATGTAATTAATATTGCAGAGACGGGAAGAGAGCCCCGAAGAAGCAGAGCTGTGATTTTTCCTTCCATTTAGAGCAAAAAAAAACAAAGAAAAACAGACCCTGGACTTTCTATTTCCATTTCGTGTCATCTTCTTTAAACCCTAACAGAGTAGTTTTTGCTGAAAATTACAGTCGGTTAATATTTTATATTTTTTTCTTTTTTTAAGTTCAGTTGTGCAGCTTTCGTAACTTTTTGGTGGGATCGGGGGGCCTTCTTTCGCTTGTTCTAGCATCCAGAAAAAGTCTGAAGCTGAATTCTTATAAGCCTTTTGTAAAAACTAACATATATTTTACTGGGGGAAAAAAAAGATTATAGTCATATATATTATGATAGATTTTCTCAGCCTTCACATGTTTTGTGGTAAAATTGTAAAAGTTGGTCATTCGGTTGTATTATTTGTGGAGATGTGTGTAGCTGGTATGCAAAAATAAAAAGCTGTGAAAGACTGATTTCAGTCAGAAGACTTTAAATCTGCTGTTTCTGAATGTTTGAAAAACTAATGACTGACGTGCCTTCTTCTGCTTATCAGGCGTAATCATGATTTAACGCATTAACTGTATAATTAGACTTTTTAATGCTACTATCATTTTTTAAATATTCACTTATAATTATGACGTTTTAATCATCATTTTTGTGCTTCTGTCCGTCCTTTTTCCAGCTGAAGAACAGCCTGAGAGACGACCTGTGTCTGGACCAGGGCCCCGACACCGACAACGTTCCCATCATGTACCTCTGCCATGGAATGACTCCTCAGGTCAGTGGGGCGTCTTTTTTTAATCTCCAAACACGTGAAGCGGCGATAAACACTCATCACGCAGACACGTCTAAGAAAGGCCTGTCAATACCGCACAATGGGGCTCCCTCACAGGCTTTGATGTTTCCGAATGAGGGATTTAGAGCACAACTCGTACATAAAGATCCATTTGATGAGAGGGCGGTCGCTCGTTATTCTCCTCACAGCTCAAAGACTTCTTGAGAGTTCAGTTTGCATGTTTTTCCAGCTTCTAAACTTCTATATGTTGACACGCTATCATTAAAGCGGCATGTTCGAGGTCTGTGCTGCCGTTAATTGTTGCTGCTTTTCAGAAGATGGAAACCCTACAGGAAACAATCCCACATGTGATCAGCTTGCAAAGTGTTTTCTGGCTTGCTTTCACCTTCTGGTTGCTAGATAACTTTAACTGTTGCTCAAATGTGAAAGCCGAATTGAACAAACTCATAAAAATGAGTTTGTTTTTACCCTTTAAAGCCCGATCCAAGAAAAATAGGAAGAATATTGGATTGTTTTAGTCTGATGTCTTTCTTTGGCCCCTCGACAACACATGAAGAAAAAAAAACAGACTTTTTTTTTTTTTTTTTTGATCAAATTAGCGTGCAATAAGTCAAAAATCTATTTTGGTGTAGTCTTCTACTGGCAGTTATCAGGTATATCTGAATGTGTACAACAGGGGTCTGAGCAAAGCTTTTACAATTGAAGGATGCAAAAAGTCTCAGATCCAAAAGACTTCAGAAATCGTATGAATCAAATATGAATGATCCATTTGGCATTATAGGGTTAAAGACATGGTGAAGCTGAAAAGAAACCCTTCAAACCTTTTAGATTATCAATCGTCATGTGATCTGTTGATTGTTACTAATATAATTAAAATAGTCTTTCTTGAATTCTGCTTCAAATGAAGTTAAGACAGAGGTGAAGCTGCTTTAGAGAAAACAGGAAACAGAATTTGGGGGCTTCTGTAATTCATGTTTTACGATAGTATAATAGATACATGAAAAAAATCTTGTTTAACTCACAAATTCCTGTTTTGTGGGTGGGATGAAACTTATTAGCTTCTGCGAGGCCTTTAAACATCTCTATCAGCTCAGGGCAGATTCCGGGGGCATTTAATTCTAAAGGGGCCGTAAAAAGCTGCACTCATGGCCTCCTTAATGGAAACTTGAGAAAAACAATTTAAACCCAGGCCACTTTTCGATCCTTTGAAATGTTTTGTGGCGGCGCAAAAGGAAAAAATTCATATTTAACCGTGAGTAGTGCATAAAGAGGCTTTCAGAGTCAGAAGTAGAGTCCTCTTTGAGTCCAGAGCAGCTTTTTCTGTGGACGATTGGAGCCTCACCTCAGTTGCCAGTTAAGTTAATAGCTCTGACTAGCGCTTTGGTGTTTGGAAACCTCCGGCTTTCTTTCTGGGTCACACTCGGTAAGACAGAGTCCCTCCTACAGACGATATAATCAAAAGGAACCGGTCATTTGATCGAGGCGTTTTTGCGCGAGGTGAACTCTCTGAACAACAAGCTAACAGTTTGGCCTCAGCAGGACCTGGCTGATGTACGCTTTCAAATCCCTGACTCATTATAGGACTGTCCAACAGCAGATGAACGCATCCAGGCTCTGACTAAACAGACTGCCTGCAGTCCAGGCCAGCGTTGTCCAAAATCCATCAGTCGGCTCATTTCCCTCCTCTAGAATAGAGACAGGTGCCGCCTTTTCCAGCTCCACTTTCAAACAGCAACATGAATGTATTCATTCAGCCAAAAATAGGGTAGGCAAGAATAAGCTTTGCTTCGGCCTATTCCTTTTTTGGTAAACTGTGGGTTTGTCTATTGTTTTTTTCTTTTTTTCCTTTTGTTGTTTCTTGTGTTTGATGTGGACAATTTACCAAAATAAAGTGAAAGTGAAAGTGAAGTGAAAGTGATTTATCGAAGTGTCTTTCTTGATAAAACGCTCAATAAAAGCCATCCAGGCTTTATTTGAATTATCATCCTAAGGTCTGAGCATTTTAAAAAAGCCCCGTAAAAAGCATCTGAAGAAGCTAAAAATAGGAAAAATGAGAGGTTGAAACCTTCTGTGTCGGTAACACTCGCCCTCAGGCCTGATAGGGAGAGCGTGCAGGCTTCAATCTGGTTTTGACAGGAAGAAAAACACAAAAGCAGAGAATCTGAAAGGTGCCAGATTCAGGCAGTTGGTGAACTGGTATTTCAGGACGTACAGAGCAAATGAAAATATAATCTCGCCGTACCGTTTGGATGAATGTCGATTCAAAAATCACTTAAAGCCGGGCCGTGATTTACCATCCGTGTGGTGTCATGTCTTCAGATAACAGGGATATTCAGGGCTTTGGAAGGATAATGCTGGATAGGAGTAGAATATCATTACAGAATCCGAAAGGGGGAACTAACTAATAACTTGATCAGCGCCAGATATTTGTCCTTTTTTTTGTATTAGCGGCGTACACTCCCACATTCTTATTTATCTTCTTAAAGGAAACATTAGAATGTGATGGATGGAGCCAAAACCTTTCATGGTAATGGATATTTGTCAAACACATTTCATGTACGTGGAAAGACAATAAATTTCTTTTCTTTCCTTGATTTTGTAGTTTCACTGGTTAATGCGAAAGATATTTTTTGTACAAGACGTCAGCGTGGAAAAAAGCGGAGAGAAGAGCAGCGGGAAGGCGGTTCACAACCGACATCAAAGCCTCTGATGTTCGACTGCTCTTCTATCGGGGGCCTTAAAAAGATTTCATTCTTCATTTTTCAGTCACGCCGAGTATCTGTTCCCCCCTAAGTCCCTCTTATTCCCCCGTTCAGATCCTTTTCATTCAGATTCGCCCAATCCCTCAGATTACCTCTGCGTCCTCCTCTTCTTTCTAATCAGAGCCATTCCGTTTGCGTGCGCGTTCGAGTGGACGGGCGGCTGTGCTCGTGAATACCTGATGATCTGTCGAGGCGCATAATGTTTCCCAATTTCATTTGGGTCCGTTTGACGCGGACGAGGGGAGCGAGGCCCGGAAAGGATTTGCGGATGATAATGAGAGAGCGGGATGGAGACAGACAGGCCAAAGGGGTTAGGATGGAAGACACGTCCATGTATTCGTTTTTATTGGTAACAACAATGTTATATTTGCTTATATCGCTTATTGATTATTATTGGAACTTCTTAATCATCGCTAATACAATTGTAGTTTTCGTATTACCTGATACTATTTTTATTCATAGGATATAAGTTTATCCTTATGAACTTCAGTTTGTCTGTAATTGAACACTTTTTTTGAGGCCTTTATCCCATTAATGAGGATTTCAGATTTCAGCTGTGAGACAGATGTGGAATACGTGCTGGCCAGTGATTTTCAGTCAGTGAATTCCAACAGGCCTGGACAAAAAATACAGGCTAAACTTTGATCAACTTCAGTGCAGAATTAACCAACACATGCACTGTATGGTGCACGTGGGTACCTTACATTAAGGGTTTTAAGCCTGATCCAAGAAAAAAAATAGAGAAAAAATTACGTTTTCTTTTGTCTAGAGTCAGAATATTCATCACTTTTTACCGTGGGATAAGTCAGAAATCATTGTTGTAGTCTAGAAACTGCAAGGTTTCTACCAATAAATGATGCAAAATGTTTCAGATGTAAAATATTTCAGAAACCATATGTATCAAATATAGGTTCAATTATGAAAATACTGCACACACCATCTGATCCAGAACAATGCCAAGTCTGAACTCCTCTACAGACACCAGCACCCTGCTTTGACTTAAAAAAAAGCTCCACAGTGATATTGTTGTTGCAGTTTTCTCTTTACATGCAGCACATACCTTTTTAAAAAAATGGAGATAATATCCTGTGCAGATCTACATAAGTGAAAGTGGTCTCTCAGCAGCTTAAATGTGGAACGCTTCCAGTTGTCTAAATTTGCCCCGGGCTGCAAACACACACACTCTGTTTATCAAGGGGGGAGAGAAAAAAAACATCCTATTTAGAAAAGTTGTAAAAAATGAGTGGGTCTGTTCAGTCTGGGAGCTGATTTCAGGCGATTGTTATTCGACAAAAAGGTGAGAAACGGCGCGGGGAAATTAAGCAGATAATAGAAATCTGATCTTGGTATTGGTGCAGCCTTGCTGAGAAGATTGGTTTCGTTGGTGGGATCGATAACGTCTGAAAATTGGACCTTTGAGGCTATTTACCAGTACGCCGTTAGGGAGTGTGCACAAGTGTGTTCGTTTCCCATTTTATCCCTGCGAGGACCTCCAAACAGGAGGTACCTTCACGGGGCCTTGAAGGGAAATACTCGCTGTTAAAACTGATGTGATGTGTGATTAAACATCTGGAGGATGTGTTAATACAAGCATGCTGCTTTCACACACTCCCGCCTGGGTGGGAAGTCTGTGTGTTTGGGTGTCTACTCAACAGAATGCACCGAGATGTTTAACTTTTAAGTTTAGGTGTGAACAAGCTGCATGATAAAAAAATTAAAAAAAGGCTTTTAACTAAATTTGATGTTTGTAAGGGCCTTGAAACCGAGTCAGTGAACAGATTTAATCTCAGAAAAACAGAATATCTCCCCGAAAAAATAGACTGCTTCAAGGTTTGGGGGAAAGTTGATTATGGAGAAATGATTTCGTATTCAGTTGCTTCGCTATGGATTCTTTTCAGTTCCAAATATGAACTCAAACTGATGATTTATGTGTGTCACAAAGCTAATTATTAGCCTTTTAAAAAGCTTTAACCTCCAGCGACATTAATGTCGGATGGTATTTGTTTGGGTCTATCCGTGAGCTAAAGGAGTAAAGTTCACAACCTCCCAGATGGATCCTGGTCCACCCTCATTTATTCAGCATCTCAAAATAAGGTGGGAATTTGTGACGAGCTTGCTGAATTTTTCAAAAAGTGCCCTGGGCATCACTGGCAGTGGAATATAAAATAGCCCGCTGGTTAGTTTTGCAGGTCATTAAAAGGCTCTCCTTCTGTCACACGGACATTAGCATGGTTGCGATTACACAGAGGAAGTCCATTTTCAAAATGGCGGCCTGCTCTTAGCATCTGATCAGTGCACGTCCTGAATTAGCCTCATTTTGAGTGATTTCTGTCTTCCTCTTTATGCGCATTTAGCCTCTCTGCCATCACATTAGCTGTGTGAGAGAAATGCCAGAGAAATGAGCTCACTGGGAGCCTCGGATGGGACAAAAGTCCCCTTTACGATTGCCTGATAATTCAATATTTTGGGGTTTTTAATTCATTTCCAAAAAACGTAATCTCTAATTTTAATAAATGTCATTGGAATGTAGCTTTTTCTACTATTTCCTGGACTGGGATGCAAACATATAGCTGAAAATAGGCCATTTTTCTAATGAATGCTGGGCTAACTGTACATCTTTTTAGCATGCTGTTTGTGTCTTAGCAACAGTTTATATGACAAATGAGATTAATAATCTGTAATTCTGTTACGTCGACACAAAGACATTGCTCTGACTGAAGTAATATCCGTTGGAATTCGACTTTCGGATGCCGGGAATCCACCCACAGCGTCCAGGCCGCCCTCCGTGTGAACGTGCACATCCGTCAGGAGAGATAGTTATCCGTCAAACACAGCGCCGTGCTAATCTCCCTATGAGCAGCCCTGAGTCACCGTGACAGGGGAGGAGATAGCGTTAAGCCCCCGCGTCGGAAGCTGAGCATCAATCTACGGACAGATCCACGTTTAATCACTCATATAAGCAGACGAGCACACACACACACACATCCACGCACGCACCTACATGAACAAATCCTCCTTCATAGGCATCAAGCGTAGAACACGTTCACGCATTAGTGTCCGTGCTGGGTTTTTAAACAGCATTTGTGGGGGTGTTTCCCAGTCGGAAAAAAGGATCCTATCTTGAAATGTCCTGTTCCTGTAAGCAGGTCATCATTCTAATCAGTTCTCATGAGTTCCGAGTGTTATTGGCCAGTTAGCTTTGACATGAACAGGCCAGGTCCTAATTCATGCAGGTTTCAGTGAAATATGATAAGAAAGTGTGTGTGTGAATGTTGACTTTGAAGACGTGTATCTACTGTAACCGAGAAAGGAGGAGGAGGAGTAGATACAGCCAGAGTTTAACACAAAAGTATCATTCTAAAGGGAATAATATGAATCAAAAAAGGAATAAGACAATCAGTCATTTACATGGATTTGATCCCCCTCCTCTGCGTTGTTCGCATTTGTTTGTGCCATCTTTTTTCTGTTTTCCGGACTTGTGATGTGATTTTTCGAACCACTTAAGGTTTTGTGTGGGTGCGTGGGTGTGTGTGCGAGTGTGTGTGTGCGCCTCCTTGGGCTTTGAAAGTGGGCCAACACTTGCATTCATTACCATCTTCTTAGGCTTCTTTTTTCTCAGGTGTTTAAAGTCTTCTAAGGTGATATTTAGCCAGCGTCTACTTCTTCCCCTGACCTCTCTTCTCACTCCTTCATCTCTCGCCACAGCTCGTTACCGCCTCCTTTTTGATCTCCTCCTGTTTTTAATTAATTTTTTTATCTTAATTGGATCAGTTACAGGTGTTATTTTGCACAACATTAAAAGAGAAAAATCCTTCAGAGACTTACTCAAATATGCAGGTAAGTTAAGAAAGAAAAACAAAATTAGCATGAGAAATTAGCCTACTTTCAGCCCAACCTCCACCCCCCTTCGGTTTAATTATTGTGAAATAGAAAAGTTTCTTCTCTAATATATATGTTTTTATATGAAGATCATTTACATCTTAAAACTTAAATTAAACTTAAGATAGCATTCTTGGGATGGATTAAGTTGATGGGTGTGGGCGTTCATTTAGGGCTAAAATATAAGAGAGTTTCATTATTATTGATTATGAATGATGGACAGTAGTGTTTGCGTAAATGTAGAAATCAGCTAAGCAAATAAGAAGATAAAAAAATAGGAAAAATTCAAATAAAACACCATTCAGTCCTCTGCCTTCTAACCCCCAAACTTGGGGGTGTGATGGTGGTTGCTGAGCTCCACTTTGCAGACAATGTGTGAAACACATTCCAGCACGTGTATCACTCAGTCGAATAAAACCCATTTCTAATTTTCCTCATCCTCTCCGCTCCATTATTCCGCAGACACGTCTTCTTCAGAACCGTCTTGTTCATGATGTGTGGCACTCGGCTGTTCGGGAGGTGTTCGCTCTCATGTTAGATTTGCAGAGCTGTCACAACCTAAGTGCAGTGGTTTGTGTGGACAGGTTTAAGGAGCTCTAAAGGGGCACTTAAGCAGTTCCCCCGCGGATTTAGTTACCGCTCAGCTCTCTTTCATAATTAACGGGGACTCTAGCACAGGTGCTGGACACTCACACGGTTGTTTTCTAGCTGCTAAATTATGTATTCTTATAATGTAGTGTTTGCATTACTTTCTTTATTTAAGTGATCATTTAACATACTGAGAACATTTATTTTTGTAGAGTATGTTTTTAGCAAAAGAGAAACAAAGAATTTGTTTTAAATGATTTGGTGTAAAATGAAAGGTTTAGTTTCCTGTTTTCCCAGCAGTCCAAACATTTCTCTGTGGTTTCCCTCCGGTTTTTGTCAAGGAGCTTCTTATCCCTATGGAGTGAAGTTTATTTTTCAACTGGATTAGTTTTGAATTGCTTTTTTCCACTTATTGTTTCCTAATTAAATCAAATAAACTTGAGCCTTTTCAATTTGTTGCCAATTACAAGCATAGAGTCATAAATCAGGGATGCAGCATGAGAAAATAAACTTTCTGTTACGTGTTTAGAGCTTCATATTGTTCATATGGATTTTCAGTGGTATAAATTGTGTTAATCTTAAATTCTCCAACAGAGAGCAGCTGGGCTTTTTATTTATTCTTCACTTTTCATCTGAGAAGTTAAAGGTGTAAACCTGCTGTGTGCCGCTTTTAGATCCTCTATAAGTCACCTCCAAGTTTTTTACACCGAGGATCTGTACGATAAAGCAGGATTAGTGTCCGAGAGAGGCCACCTCAGCTTCAGGTTTTCCTTGAATCGCAATGACCGTCAACACTGAACGTAAAACCTTTTCCGGGCTGGTTTTAAGATAAGGCCAACACTTGTTAAGGGAGGGCCTCCTTATCAACTAATTGTCTTAGAGAGAGAAAAGATGGACGTCAGAACAACTGGATGATTGGAAATAGAGTAAAAAAAGGTGCAGTAAGCCCTAAACCAGGTGTGAATTTGTATTTACCTCTGTCTGTTTTTTGGATTTTTGTGGACTTTGGTTTAGTTTTGACTTTTGTTCTCTACTGCCTATTATCTGATCGTGGCTTTTCTTTTGTCTTGATTGGTGCTTTGTCTTTCTTCACGCTTATTTTTTAGGTCAGTAATCCTGGTTTGATTTCTAATTTCATTACTGTGCCTTTTGGTAAAGTTTTAAATTCAGTCAAGTTCAGTTGACCTTTGACCTTCTGCTGTCCAGCCGTGCCCCCCGTTTGGATCTTTCCAGCTTTATTTTCACATTAATTTAATGTAAATGCTTAAACAGGGTGGATATTTAAGCCGGATAACGTCAAGACATCCACATTTCTCAAGTTTCAAGCTGTAAAAAGAGTAAAAACTCTGTTTTCGGCAGCTCGGTTTAACATTATTGGCTTCATCACGACGGCCTTACAGATGTTTACGTCCTTTCCCCCCCCCCCACTGAGTCTTGGTCTCTGTCTCCCAGCAGAACGTGTACTACACCAGCTCCCAGCAGCTCCACCTGGGCGTGCTGAGCCCCACCATCGACGACGACGACAACAAGTGTCTGGTGGACGTGAACAGCCGGCCGCGGCTGCTGGAGTGCAGCTACGCCGCCACCAAGCACCTGAAGCTCACCTGGACCTTCAGCCAGGTGAGCCTCGGCCGGACGTCCGTGATGTCCGCAGACCCGAGATGTCCGGTAACGAAGTAGAACTACTTAAGTACTGTACTTAAGTACCAAAATGCAGTAGGCTACCTGTACTTTATTGGAGTATTTATTTTATTCCCTACTTTTTACTTTTACTCCACTACCTCTTTTGGATTCATTTAATACTTTTACTCCGATCGATTTTTCACAGGCTGAATTGTTACTCGTTACCCATATGTAAACGTAATGATAGATATAGCTCTGTCCCGGTTTGTGAAGTTGGCTCCTCATTGGGAGATTTGAGGGATCAAGCATAGCCTATTTAAAAAAAAAGCCCCCCGAAAGATTACGAAATAATGGCCTTCAAAAATTCCCCATCTAATCTGAAGAAGCATATCACGGTAAATTAAAAAACACAATGACATATAAGCTAGTATATAAGCGCTAGTTCAGTTCTCCCTGTTCACTCAGGACGTAGCAGCTAACGTTAGCTAAAGCTAACCTAGCCGGCTAGCTGTATGGTAACTTTAGCTAAAGCTAACCTGGCTAGAAAGCTGTATGCTACATGCTAGCATAAAGGCTCAGCTCAGGATTCTGACACAGGAATAATAAATAACAACAGATGAAGTGCTGTTGATTGTTAATGCAGATGTAGTTTTCTGTTTTTTTGTAAACACCTGTATGGTCTTTCACACGTTTGAAATAATATAAACAATATCTATCAAACTTTTGACTGCCTTTTTCTAATATACACAGTACTTGTACTTTTACTTATAATTGTACTTTCGATACTTGAGTAACAATTTTTGAAATACTTCTACTTGCAATACTTAAGTACAAAAAAGTTTGAGTACTTTTGTACTTCCACTTAAGTATGGTGTTGAAAGAATACTTCTACTTTTACTCAAGTACATTTTTTTTTATATAGTACTTGTACTTCTACTCCACTCCTCTACTCCAGTACTTTATACATCTATGCTGCAGACTCTGCTTTAATTGCTTTGCTTGTTAGCATTCTCTGTTAGCATTGTTGTCGTTAGCATTCTCTGGCTGTGACCTCCTGCATTTGTGTGCCGGGCCAGAGCTCCATGCTGCCGTGCATGTGTTATTTTCAGATGCCCAGGGATGGGTGGGGGGGGATTCAGGCCCCTTCCTTTCCACCTTGCCTCTCTGACTCAGTCAAATCCTCCTGCTTTTAAAAGCGCTCATCCGCTTTGGAAGCGCTTCTGCTGGGATTTGAGAACGAGCTCGTCACACATCCACAGTTTCTGACTTTTTCCATTTCTACATCTTGTCACAGTTTTAATGTTTTTCTCGGCGTCTCACAGACTCGAAAAGGAAGCTGGTTAATTAGTAAAAATATAAAAAAGATGACACGGCTGTGCACCAGCTAGAGGCATTTTAAAGATCGTGTCTCCGTCTCGTCGTGCTGCTTTTGCTCCAGACGACAAACTGAATGAGCAACTTACTTTATCATCATTTGTCTCTCCTTTCCTTACTCAGCATCCGGTGTCTTTCAGTAAACAATCCTGCCAGCCCCCAAATCCCACGGAGTCTGTAGCCACTGGGCAGACCGGCAGGGGGAATCGCCATCCAATTAGCATCAGCCGGATTCAGAAACCTCAAAACCCAATTTGGATCCCAAGTCAAAGAGATGAAACCCATTAGTCCCATAGCTACAGGGCTGTGAAGAAAAGGGGCTCTATTTTTTTTATTTTTTCATGAAAAGTTTGAAGAAATCAAATAAGGCCCCCGAGATGGAACTATTTCCAGTTTTCTAAGAGGGCAGATCAGACATTGGATGTATGAAAGATTAAAAAAGAACGAATAGTGAAGTGAAAATATTTGAATTAGTAGAAGTAGAGGATGGATGGATGGATGGATGGATGGATGGATGGATGGATGGATGGATGGATGGATGGATGGATGGATGGATGGATGGATGGATGGATGGATGGATGGATGGATGGTTTTTAGAAATTCTGATTGTCATATTTGATTTGGTTGAAGCAGATATTTTCCATGTGACCAAGTTAAAACCGAAGTATTTACAGAAGTTGGAAAATACTTCTCAGACAATCCTAACAGGATTCTGTTTATGATTTCAAGGCAGCTTCTTGGATTTCATTATGCAGCTCCTGGAACTATAGTTTCCATTTTAAACAGACGAATGGTGCGCGCGTGGCATTTTAAAAAAGGCTGATAAAAACAAGTCGGAGAACTGATATTATTAAAGCTCCTTTCAGAGATATTTCTACCACTTATACGCTCAAGGCTTCTGTGGACCCAGATTCCATCCGCAGTATGTAGACACAGGGCTCTATCTATATGCGAAATATGTTTCCAATTTTCATTTTTCGCACCAGTTGATGAGCTTTTCTCTTCAGCTCTGTGATTTTGATTTCGCCGGTATCCACAATCCAATCTGTAAACTAGATGTAGAAAATGGAGTCGACAAAAGAGTCTACAGCTCCGTCGGTCTGATATTGTCCAATCCAGTTTATTGGAATAAGGTGCATTCATTTTCAGTAAGTAGGTAACAGTTTGGGACTAAGTTAAGAACATTTAGAGCCTTTACAACTAAATCACAGATGTGTTAAATATGTAAAAGATTAGAGTTATCTTTGGTGTTTGTACTACTGTTCATGCTACACATCACCAATGATGGTGGTAAGGTTAAAAGTTGTTAAAGGAAAAGGTTAAAGGAAAAAAAGGAGAAAAAAAAGAGGAAAAAAAGAAGAAAGAAAAAAAGAAGAAGAAAAAAAATGAGAAAAGAAAAGAAAAAAAATGAAAAAATAAAAAAAATAAATAAATAAATAAAAAAAAAAGGTTGTCTTTCAATTTGGATGAGAAGAACCCCCACTGGACAGAAAGTCCATTTTTTTCATCTGATAAAATATTTTTCTGTGTTTGTCCCGTTTGAACTACGCAGAATTGGCTGTCAACCTGCAGTTCTTGGGAGTCAGAAGTTCTCCACAGAGAGGGGGCTAAAAGAGAAGCAGGACACAGGAAGTGTTGCGCGGAGGTGGGAGAGGGGGGGAGAAAGAAAAGAGGATGAAAAGGAGACGCAGAGTTAAGAGTGCGAAACCAAAAACGAAGGTGCTTGGCAGCTGCTGGGCAGAGGTGACGGGAACAAGGGAATAGGGAGCATTTCATGTGAAGCGTACAGTCTGTATTTGTGAATTATTGATGAGAAGATCTTTAACTTATTGAACAAAGCCTGGTCCTGAGGGAGCAGCCATCAGAGGAGAGTTGGAGCAAAGAAGAAGAGAATACAGAAACATGTTCATTTTCTTTACAAATCTGACCGGCAGGCTGGATTTTCCTGCATGTAGTAGATGCTATTTTCTGATATGAAAAGTACGTTCTCATTAATTTGGCCTTTTTTTTAACCACCACTTAATTTCACTTGTGTCTTTTATTAACAGTTTTACTACTTTTTGTTATTCTAACTGCAGAAAACCGGAGAAAAAGCCAGAGTTTGTCATTATTTCTAATCCTGAGGGGAAAAAAGTGTTTATTTTTAATCTTCACATCTCATAATTGATTGCAACGTACAGTATTAAAACACACAGAAACGCGCGGCTCCAAAAATAGCAGAGAAAAATCCAGCTGGAGGACTGGAGGCTTTCCGAGCCGCTCCACTGTTACATTTCATATCGGATAATCTCCCATTTCTGTTGCAGAATTAATGCTATTTAATCCACGCTGTTTATTAAAGATCTCAGCACAGCTCGGCAGATGTTGGGTCATGTTCCATTCATCGCGATCATTCATTTATAACTCCTCCCAGACAGGCACCTACTTTCTACAAGCTGTGAACACCGCCAACACCAGATCTTGTTTTGTTCGACTCTGTAAATTTCAATGCCTCTTAAAAGCCAGTCCGTTCGCCCGATGATTATTCTGATATTCTGATTTGTTAACATATTTCTCAAACCGAGAAATGGCGCTTTCATCTGCTGTTGAGTTACGTGAAAGAACCTTTTGGGGGTTAAATAATGATATTTTCAACTGTTTTCTTCACAATAAAAAACATAATTATTCAGTGTTGTTATTCTACTTGTACCGGAGGCATGTTGTGTGTTTGTTTTTACGCAGTTCAGCTGTTCTCACAATACAGAGACAAGGTGCAAAAAAACATTCCCTCAATGGGACAAAATGCTTTTTTTTGTTAATCATTATTTTTGCAGCTTAACTCGCACTAACAATGCGACTTTTGAGGCTGAAATTAATAAATGAGTTGCCCAAACTCTGGATCCAAGCCAACAGACAACTTTGCTTTATCGTCACCATGACAACAAAGGTCCTATGTTTTAAACCAAACTCCCATTGATTTGTGAGTCTGTGCAAATCTGACCAAAGAGCTTCTGCTCTCTGGGCTACTTTCAAAAGGAAAAGAGTGAGCAGCTTCTTAATGGCTTCATTGATGTATAATTGGTGCATTTCATCTTTTTAGAAATTGCTTTTGCCTTTTAATTAACTGCCTTTCACACACCTTGAAGGCACGTTACTCCAGTATTTCGGATTTTCTCTCTCCCCCCGCATCGTTAGAGGAGAATGACCTGAGGACCGGGCATCTGGTGGACAGATTGTCCGACTGGACATCCAGCTGGCTGTCCGATTGCCTCTGTGGCTTACTGGCTGTTTGACCGGCTGATTAGCGAACGCTCCCAGCTTAGTAGCAGGGAATCGATATCATTGGAGCTCAGTTCGCTCCAGAATGGAGGACAAAGCGCAGGAGGACTGCCAATGCCGCCTTCCTTTTTCTGTATGTGCGTTGAGAGACAACTCGCTAACTTCCAATCACATTTGTCACAAGTTATTCGGGAGGTCGAAACCATTCGAGAGAGCAAATGGACTCGCTTTTTAGGAGAAACGCCAAGAAAACATTAATGCGATTACACTAATGGGCTGTAAGTCTGCCTCCACTGTACCACACGCACAAAGAGCCATTAGCTGAAGGCCGCTGTGCTTGTGTCCCGCGGCTTTAATGACCCATCAGCGAGCGACCGCAGAAAGGACGAGGGCAACAAAAACTTTTGGTATCAGCTGGATACGACTGTTTGATTGGACTATTGGATTATAACACAATCGGCAAACCTGAAACGCGCGGATTCGACTCTGCGGGAAAATGAAATTATTGGTTATTGAGCTCCTGTCTGACCGTTTCCCTGATAGGAACCACGATGTCATCCCAGGCCCACCCCCAAGACGCTGCCTACCCGGTTTAGGCCCAGCCGGAGTCCTTTAAATGAACTGAGGACCTTTGATTGAGAACTTTTACAGCGCTGCACTTTTCTTTTAATTTAACTGCTGTTATGGAAAGTGTTCTTTAAACGAATTAGGCAAAGTCTCTTAATAATTAGAGAAGATCGATCTTGTCTAATAACGGTATTTAATACGAAGGCAACAGCGTTCGAAGACGCAGGTCACAGAGTAAACTCAGGTTAAAGGCACGTCCCCTTATATAACTTAGTATGGATAAAGAAACAAAGACATTCTGATTTACTCCTCAGTCCTCAAGGAAGTCCCATGGAGAATCTCCAAAAGGACAGGGCTATGCTTATGTTCAGGAGACAGGAAAGGGCCCCCATGTGGATGGACCAAAAGGAGAATCTTCTCAGGAGATGGATGGAGGATGGCAAAAAGGGCAAGTCATACAATTTCAATGATAAACACAGGAATGGGAGATTCATCCTTGATGGGATTAAGGAAATTGTTGCATTCCCTACTGGTGCTAAAACCACAGTCACCAGACATGCGAGAACTTTGCATCATTACAGTTTTCTACGTAAACAGATTCGCCTCGCGTCAAACTTTGTCCCGATGCTGCACAGAGAGCAGAGAGCGGTGGATTTATTGGAGCTTTTCTGCTTGAGAGGAGTGCCTGGACATGAGCGGCGAGGCAACGTGGCAAGTCGCATTTATCTCGGATGTGTTAATGCAGAGCTGGTGACTTCATTAGCATCCAAATGGAGAGGTAAAAGCTGCCCGCCGCCTAATGCTGAAAGCGATCATCTGGAGGAGAAGAGGGGGGAAATCAAAACAAAGCTATCCATTTACTCTGTTTCTCCACTCACCCCCTTTGAGAATGATGCGCTTATTAAAACACCATGGAAGCTTGCTTCGAGGATCGTAGGACGTTTGTGTGTTTGTATTCGTTGGTACAGTTTTAAAAGAAATTGTCTCACAGGCTGTTTTCACTGAGTTTCTCCACAATTGTCTCAGTGAGGTCGTCATTATCTATTGGTTCCCAGCTTTCCTTCGGGTTTTAAATAATGGATTGGAAGATTTTGATCCAGTTTTGGTACATTCTCCACTCCTCAGATGTTTTGAGTGATAGTTAAATCTTTGTATTGTGCCACAAAGTGTATCATTTGATTGGTTGCATGGGTTGATTGGTCTTTTAAATCATAGAGTTCATTATGACTGCATGCTACCTTCAGATTTTCATTGATTTTTCTATCTTTTCCATGCTTTTTTATTTGGTTTTAAGGGAAAATAATTGGATATATTGGATATATATATAGCCCACGCCTGTGGGGCTATATTATGCTTCTAATGTGTTTTGGACATGCCCAGAAATCCCTCCACAGGCAGGCACATAAGAGGCGTCCCTATCAGATGGCCTCAGCTCAGTCCTTTTGATGTGGAGGAGCAGGGACTCAACATCGAGTGGCCCCAGATGTTCGAGATCCTTCTCCTATCTCTGAGGGGTTAGCCCAAGCCCCCCTTCCAAAGAAAACTCATTACAGCTACATTAGAAAAACACAAAACAAGCGCGTTTCAGGCAGACGTGCTGATAGCATAATTAAAACCCCTCAACTGACCTTTAGAAAATGTCAGTCAGAGGTCCAGAGGCCTTTTTTTTATCCTTCATCCACATATTTAAGCTTCATATTCTGCTCGCCGCATGAAAAACCTGCTCTTTAGATAGTCTTGAACTTTCATAAGCCCGCTCATCTTGAGCTAGGATCAGAAATCAAACCGCTTTCGGTTCCAGCGATTAGCCCGGGACGGCTGAAAGTACAGATAATAACCCCGGCGCGCGACCCCTCGGAGATAGATTCCCTCTCCAAGCGAGGGGGGGATGTTTACGGCCCGTCACAGACGTGTGTGTTTGTGCCGCATGCCTAAGCGTGGACATTATCTTCCCTCGCCGATCAGCAGTTTTCCGACATATCATTCCGGAGCACGTGGACAAACCACTCTGCACAGAAACAGCTGAGCACACCGACAAGCCGCGGGGATCGATATCTTTTCAGGGAGCTCAGAGCCTGAAGGGGCGCGGGATTATGTTTCTGTTAAACACGGGTCTGTGTGCGTGCGTGTGTGTGTGTGTGTTTTTTATCATACTTGTTGTGGAGTCGACCACTCGAGAGCAGAATTTAGGGTGAGCGGCAAAACGGAGTTTGTTTAAAAAGCTAAAATGCTGTTGAACGTTTAGCTAGCAGGCCTTGTGTGCGTGTGTGTGTCTTTGTGTGTGTCTGTGTGGTGTAAAGCATAATGTTTTTAAGCCAGTCAGCTTTTGTAAAGCGCCCGGCAAGTTTGACACAAATGGTTTTAGTCTCCTCCCTCACGGGACTCGAGCTCATTAAAACATTTTACTGTTCTTGCCACATAACTAAGGATCTACTTTAGGTCCCAGCCTGTTGTTGATGTTCCAGCGATGTGCTCACACACACAGACACACACACACACACACACATACACAGTGTCTGACACAAGGCAGAGGCTCCTATTAAGCGACGGTAAACTACAGCTCTCATTTAAAGTGACATCCAGCTACTAACAAGCACATTTTGCATTCCTGTACATCTTCCTCCGTCCCCCCCCCCCATTCATTTGACTTCACTCAGCTTTATTGGCACTGATGTCGCATCAGCAGTATTGCCAACACATCTGAACGCCAGCGAGTGAAATGGCTGGATGCGAATTGTCTCGCAAACATCAAATATGTGCTGATACCAAGCAAGCTGAATTGCATTAGTGGGAGCAGGATAGAATCAAACCAGAAAAATATTACACACATTAAACAAGGCTACACATTTGTTTGTACTATTTACTATACTTATAGGCATGGATATATGTTGAACTTCAGGCCTAACAATGCTAGACATTTGTTTGTACTATGTACCATACTTATAGGCCAGTATAGGCCAATATATGTGGAACTTCAGGCCTAAATAAGCTTTTCCGCTTGCAGAAAGTTGCTTCTTGGTTAATTGATGACTGGGTTGCTCCCCACAGGTCGAGCCAGGAGAGCTGCAGCGTTGTGGACTCCTGCCCCTCAGCCCGCCGTATAAAACCGGATCTAATTTGTGATCACAGGCTGTGAAGTTCCAAACGCAAGGTCAAATATATTCTGGCCGGAAGCAGTGGCTGTAAACCGCTTCGTATCTTTTTACTGCAAATATCCTGCAGCTGGTGGGCCGCGCGCTGGAAAAGAGCCAGAAAGTCAGGCGCTTGTTTAAAAAAAAAAAGCTATTGTGCGCTAAAGCGAAGGCGAATATGGGGATCGCCGACTTTTTAAAATGATATGTCTGTGTTTGCATTCTGTGGGTGATTGCGTCTAATTTCAAACGGATTTATTCATTCAGAGTATCGGCAGGTGTTTGCAATCCGAGTCAGAGCTAGCAAGTTGAATTTCCATCGGATTCACTTTATTTGAGTTTGTGTAACTCTACAGAAGAGTTTACGCTTCCAGTATTATTTTTAATGGCATATCAGAGGCATAAATTGCACCAAAAGCCACATCCTAAACCTGGAACCAAGAGGTTCAGAGGAGTTGCTACACAACTGTTTTAGCTATAAGTTTGCTAAAACATGTTTTATATGAATAAGTGAATGAACATATGTCAGATTGTGCTCTGCTATGCCAGAAATCCCATTTCAATTAAACCTAAAAGAATCCAGATGCTCACACCTCTTTACATTGCCTTGTATTTTGTAGTTGGTCAGCACTTTTTCTAGATTTTTCAATCCATATATACATAATAAGCAGTCCACATGTAACGCAAGGCGTGCTTTTTCCAAACCGTAACATTAAACGCATGTTAGGTATATGTGGGGATTAGTGTGTTGCACAAATACACTGTGACGGATATGGTGAGGATTTAACTTCGGTTTTCTTTTTGGGTCCTGGATGTGGTGTCAATGGTTTTACAGGCGACATGGATTCTACAGACTGTGGTGTTATGCTCCTCTTTATGCATTATTCAGCCCGACGGACACGAACACACCCTGTTTGCTCTTTGCGAGGCTTTTGCAGGCGTGGAATGCAGCAAATTGGCGGATCGATGGAGGTGTTGATGTAGCAAAATGCTGTTTAGAAATGGCATTGAACCTCTGAAAACACCGATTACTGAATTAAACGCTTAAAAATTAGATGTAAAAGCAGAAGTTGTTTTAGTTTGTTAGCCTTCTTAATGTTTTTCCTCATCATCTCTCTCCTCTTTTTTCCAGGGGGGGTCCATCCAGAACAATGAGTCGCAGCGTTGTCTGGAGCTGGTGGAGAGCGGTCAGTCAGAGTTCACTTTCCAGCTGGTCATTCAGGACTGCACGGGTCAGAAATGGACCATCACAAACATATTGACTGTCCTGCCACAGTGAACTGGGGGACACCGGTGGCTGCCCGGAACCGTTTCTGTGTGATGGACCCGCGAGCAAGTTTAAGGTCAAGTGGGAGTGGGGGGGGTTCCAATGCACAGGCAATCTGAAAGGCTGACCTCCACAGAGAAATATCCCCGAAAAGTTTCAGCACCCGGACTTATTTTTAACTACAATCTGCACAGAAAATGGTGCGCTTCAATCAGACACGGCCCATCAGTGACCTAATAACCGTTTTATGCCGATGACCCGAGAGAGGAGACACTCACAGATGGAGCTGACGCTCTTAAAACTTCCCACCCGGCCAAGAAAATGAGAAATATGGCGGACTGTTAAATCGTGGAAGCGGTTCGGTTATTTGCAGGAGCAGACTTGCGATTTATTCTGGGGTCCCTGTTTGGTTTTACGGTTTAAGAGCTGTCTCACCGGAGCGAATGCATGTGTGCAGATGTGTCCAAAATCCGGAAAAGTGGCGGATTTGTGACAGAAATTTAAGGATGAAGGCAGGTTATAAGTCATTATCCTCACTGGTCTCATCCCATTAGCATCACAGGTAAAAACAAAAAAAAAGATAGAAAGTGTCATGAAGAGAAACCAAAGAGTGATTAAAAAGCAGAAACTCCCCGTCAGAAGTTTCCGAGTTAATTCAATCTGAACGGAAGCTGTCCGTCAAATCCTGTTTGTGTGCTCACAAACGGAGCCGAGGATTCATCCTGGAAAAGAAGGTTTTACATTCCCGGCAATCTTCGGAAACACCTGGGCAAATGAGCGGATGTGATATGGAAGCCGTTGAGAGGATAAAGAACACCTCAGAGACTGGTCTGATTTCTGTGTGGGCGCATTGGTGTGCAAAAGCCCGGAGCCAAAGCCAGGATTTAACAAATACAGAGTTTTTGTTTCAGCTGGACTCATTTGAGAACAGCCAACAAAAGTTATTTAAAGAAACCAGAACGAGTTCTACCTTAAACCATAATATCTCCGTTCTGGTTTGACTCAATTTTTTTTTTTAAATCATGTGTCCTTAGTGACAGAGGAACCTGTTCTCCATCCGGGTAGATAGGGATGAGACAGATGTTGCTGAAGTCTGATATAAAAATAATACAGCTAATTTAAGCTAGTGTTACTTGAGAGGAAGTTTGAGTTACAATTACAACTAATTTATTGTGCAAACCAAACCTAGACTACTATATCTTACCATGTGTAATAACCTCTAAGACCACAGATCCTGCAAAGTTGGGATGTTGCATCAAGAAAAGAGGAAAAACTCTGTTAAAAGTCTGTTAAAATGTCAAAAGACTCAGCCAATAGGAAATCATGCCTTCTTTTACCTGACGGATGCTGCAGAGCGGAGGCTTAAACGTTTGTTTGTCATCACCGAGTGTAAACCGCCGTTAAGTATGCATGTCCCAAACCCCTTTTTGTCGATTTGTTCCTGTCTTAAAGGTTAAAGCAAATGCTTTGCTGATTAGATCAAATATTAATGAGACGGAAAATAAAAAGTGACGGAGCGCAAAAAAAAAACATGCAAATGACATAGTCCATAAGAACGGATAGAAGATTTCAGGACATGAACATGATAAATATTACAGAAGATTGAATAAAAAATACATAAAGCACAAGTCAAATAGAATTTTTCAGGTGCACCGGCTTCATGATAACTAAATGTTACCACAAAAAAATGTCCTTCATCCTTTTTTGGAGCCACTAAGAGATTCATGCCAGTGGTCATGGTTTATTAATGGAAAGAGCGCAAAGCAGGTGTGCTGGTGCAACGCCGAGAAGAGCATTAAAAAGCATATAAACCAATATGAGGAGTTTGAAATAGTGATGTCTTCTGGGTCTGATCCTGCTGCGGATGCAAATTTAACTGACGTGCGTCTTTGATCCCCTGGAAAACGGCAGCAGAGAACCAAAAAGAAACAGCACTGCCTGCTGCTCAGAGAGGGCCAGACCTGAGAAAACATGAGTGAGCACAAGCCCGGAGTCTATCCGAAAGGACAAAACGAGACAGAACGGCAAGAAACCAGACTCGGACGACACGTTTTGAGGCCGCCCGCCCGGTCGGATTCCTTCAATGGACGGAGAAAACTGAACTGAGCAGCAGATTTATTCCCTTTCTTTCTGTTTTTCATTAACAATGATCTTAGCTAAAAAAGAGATGCAACACCATGAAACCAGATTCAGGATGAAACGGCTCCACGAGTGTTTGGAGAGCTGAAAAACACTGAGCACTCCAGGAAATTCCTGGTTGATGATGAGACACAAGGTCCACTCAACAAATGGATTGTAGACATTAAACCCAGACAGATGTGGATACAGTGAGACGGAGTTGAAACACTGGATAAACTGGAACTGAATGAAATGATGACTACAGGATTTATTGTCAAACGGTGTTTAATAACAAGAATGCTTGCTGCCCTGTTACTGGAAAAAACAGAAAGTAACAGATACCTTTAGCCCCAGGATCTAATTTCTACAAAGAACAAGACTGCTTTTGGCTGCTTTTATTGTTTTCACTTTGCTGCTATGTATCTGGCTGCTATGTGTCTCTCTAAGGAAGAAGAATCTGGGCTTTGGCCACAATCGCATATATCAGCAATGTGGCACTTTCCCACTGAGTTGTGCCAAAAGAATGGCGTTTATTTCTCTGATTAACTGCTTCATTCTCTCTCTGTGGTCCTCAGAATCAATTATTGAGCCTGTTGACAGTGTAACTGAGTTTATAAGCGGTGATAACTACCTCTGCAGGGCACTCGAAAGTGAACAGATTTAACTCAGCAAACCTGAGATTACCTAGACGCGAAATGCGGCGATAAGACGCTGAGAATACGAGAAAAATCAGAAAGTGCAGAGAATTCTTTTACCACATTGAGCCCAGTCCCTCTGCAAAAGTCCTGAATCGCAGGTATGGACCTGGTAATGCTTCAAAGAATCGAGGCAAAGCAAAAAGTCAGATTTCTAAAGCTGCTAACACATAAAAACACCAAACGTATCTTTTGCTATTCCTTGATCTAATAAAGTCAAGGTACCTTGAGATATTTTCCCTTTTTGTACCTCATATCAACATATTAATGCAACGTAAACTCACCATTGCTGTTTTAAACTGATTGAGACTGGCTAAAGATGCAACAATTTAATTTAATCTTTCTCTTTTTCTCCTTATTTAGTTCATCTCAGGCAACATGAGACACGGGGATCTAGTTTATGGGGTTTAGATAGTGCCTACGTGATGGTTTGGGCACCAGATTTAGTTCACAAATCATCATTCAGTTGCTTTTTTTTTTCTTGAAAAGAGGGTTAAAAAATAACCCACTGTTTGTGTTGGAATTGTGGCACGTTATATACTCTGAAAGTGCGTGGATTCGATCTTTAAGTGCGAGCAGAGCTTTTCGCTGACTCGACATTTGCTTCTTCTTCTGCTGCTGAATCAACCCCTCAATGATTTAAAGCCCCAAACTTCAGCAAATTCATCCCAAACCGGATGAGCTTTGATGGTAAGTTTGCCCGTGGCGTGTTGGAAGCTCGGCGGCGTCGGGCAGTGGCGTGTTTTGGGGGACAGGAAGTGTACAAAGAGTCTGTCGGCTACTGTGTAGCATCTCGAAATAAAACTTCTGTTGATCTTCACTTCTTTTTTTTTGTGGCTCAGGTTTGTAGATCCTGAAAGTTTTAAAGTATCTCAATTTTTGGGAAACTCTTGCTATATCAACTGATGAAAATGTTCAAGCTATTTTGTTTGTGAATTAAAATTGGATATTTATTAAGTACCAGTAATAAAAAAAATGGATGATGTCAAAACTTGTTCTGAGTTTTTTTTTCCCCTTGTCACCTCTGTTAAAAAGTGCTATTTTCATTATTATTCATGGAATGGTAGCATAGACCATGTCAGATAATCTGTTTCTGGACACATTTGAGATGAAAATTAAACACTATATTACATCTAAAAAGTGTGGCTTACATTTTACTATAAAGGTTAATGTTTTAAAACTAGTTCAGAGAATGATGAGAGCTCCAAAACGTCAAACATTGAGTCCCATGTATAAAAATCTACAAATAGCCTCTTAAATCTCCACACAGGTGTATGAATTTCTGCTTATTTCTTTTTGCTCGTCGATCATTGAGGGTCGTAATAAGCCGTGTTCACCAGCTCCTCATTTGTATGGCCAACAGGAGGAACATAAGCAATAATTTGATATTGTGTGGCTGCAAGGTAAATGTCATTATCCCGCTTTAGTTTCCACCAACTCCCAAGAAGCATATGCGGCTGTTTAGCGGCTAAATGCTCCTCTGTGTTTAGCAGCTAATTGGTTTCTCCATCTGTTCCGCGAGGTCAGCCGCCGCGGTTCGGCTGAAAACAGCAATCCTTCAGCAGCTGAGAGCGATGGCCGACCAGAAAACAGGGAGAAGTGGAGAAAATGTTGCAAAGAGGAAGACGTAGCGGACAAAATGGAAATAATGAGCGAGCGGGAAACGTTGTAGACGAGTGCTGCTTGATGGTTTGAAATGGATAAAGTGTAGATGCACTCACATCGGAACAAAGGGAGATTTTGGTTAAATGGGAATTATTTGATATGACATTATGACCACAAACTAGGAAGGGGATCCAAAAACCTGCATCCTGGGCCTCGGGTGCTTGAAAATCTGGCATTTCCAGATATCAGTCTTATGGGATCTGATAATGAGACTCAATAACTGTACTGCTCAGAGCTCTTTGGTCATATAATTTTAAAAATATATCATTTGACTGTTTTATGTTGTAAAAACTGATTAAATTCAACTCTTCTAACTTTTTTAACTTGTTTGTTTTAATGTTCTGTGCTTTCTTTTTCTTTTGTTGTACATCACTTCCATTGAAAACGTGTCAAAAACAAATTAGCATTTTTATTATAATTAGAATAGTAGTTATGATAGTTATGAAGCTTAGTGAAAAATAGAGATGTACTCCCATCGTAAAATGTATACATATTATAGAGAAAGAAATTATTCCTAATATAAATGTAATATAAATTCTACATAATCTAATTTATATAATTTATTTCATTTATCTACATTATACATACATGTATACACATTCCAAATGTACCTTTGGGGATGAATAAAGGATATAGGAAATAAAGTAATCTATCTATGTATCAATCTATTTATCTATGTTTTTTAACCTATTATAAGCATCTTTTAGCATCCATGTTACGAGTACATCATGATGGCGTTTTGTAATAAAAAACATTTTCATTCTAAATGAGTGAAGAATCATTTAGCGTCCGTCCTCACAGAGCTCTTCGCCTGCATGTTATCATTTTTCAATTAGCCTCACAGATGCAGGTCGTCAGACACGAGCACTCCTGAGTGTCTCCTCAGAAACTCGGATTGTGGCATTTGAAACGTACTGCTAGCTAATACAAATCCCATCAACGCCCCTCAAAATTCTCCCACTGTCTTTTGCACACGTCACGGTTCTTTTTGCAGTTTTGCCGCTTGGAAAATGAATGAAAGAGGACCCAAATGTTAGCTAAAGCTAAGCGGTTTAAAATACACGCTTTGGATAGAAAGGCAGCAGAAAGCTGCTCTTTATTGTACTTTGACCAACCATTCCTAAACATTTAATCCAAATGGCTATCATTTAATGGTTTGATTCTGAAAACTGTCTTATTTTTTATACTTTGAAGTCAAGAAGTGTGTGTGAGATGAATTTACTGTAATCTCAGAATGCCACACATTATCAGAACAATGCTAATGTCTTCTT